TGTGCCTTGTGATCTGACATTCGTTAGCTGTTTTCTCCGCAAAAATGCGACAGTCCGAGGCATTTAGCATTAACATAAATTTTATTGCGTATACGCAGCGTTGCAGTGGCATCAGCTCAAGAAGACGACTTCGTTTTTTTCTTTGGGGGATCGAAAATGTTGGTGAAAATGTGCCACTGCCGCTAACGATTTTAATATTTATTATTTGGCCAGCGTTGACGTTGTCCGAGGGGGAACATCTTTTTTTTTGCTTTTGGCCATTTCTACGGAAAATCTCGGAGGGGGTCATAACGGAAAGTGGAAGGCGGTGGCAGCTGTCGGGAGTCGCTTTCAGTTGGCCACTCACGGCGCCTGGCACAATGACAAATTACGAGTTGAAAGTTGAGTGAACTTTGGCGCGACAGTGTCCACTGTTCTCCCTCTTAATTTGGCTATTTGTAGAGCAAAAAAGAGGCATTAACATTTGGGAAAAAGTTGGTTTTGATTTTTAAACTTAAAATTTAGAGAATTATTATTCTTTCATTTAATTTCCAAGTCAAAATTTTTTTTATTGGTAAATAATACGCAAACTTTTATTTCCTTATAATTTTACAAATAATTATGATTTCCCATTTTTAAATAACAAAGTTTCTTTTCTTTATAGAAAGAGTGTCAAATAGTCGGGGTTTTTGGTAAATATTATAGCCATTTTCTTAATGTTATACCTAGTTCTTTGGTCATAGTCTCCATCCTATTTGCTCTTCCCTCAGACAGCTGTCAGTGGTTCAATCTTTGACTCAGCCGGTCGAGGCCTTTGAAATTGATGAGGCTTTTGTTGCTGCCTTTCGGCAAATGAGGCGCAGATAAGCGTCAACTTTGACGCCCTCTTGAGCATATTTTTTCCAGTCGGTCTCATTCATTCTTAGCTTGGGATTCGGTTTCGATTTTCCTTTCAGAACTCTTGTTTTTTGTACATCATCGAAACTGTTGCTTCCACTTTGACACAAGCAAATGGGAAAAAGTTTTAGGCGTTCTTTAGGTTTTTTTTCTTGTCTCTCTGACTTGCCTCATTTGAACCCGACGAACCTTGGTCCATTCCCTTTTACTTTTTTTTATGTATATATATTTTCTTTTAACATTCATTTTTGAATTTGTTTCCCTTTTATTTTTTGTTGTTGTATTTTAAGCAGTTGTCTGTGCGTGACATATTTGTGTGAGCACATTTGACTCTTCACTTTTCCCCTTTTGGGGGTAACCATTTGTTAGCCTGAATGCTTGACTCGGATTTGTCTGGCTCTCTATTTTTCACAGTTAGTGTATAAAAACTTGCCTATTGAGGATAGGTAGAGGGTTCTTAAGGTCTATCAATCGAAGGAGTTGATGAGGTTGGCTTGCAAATGAATCCTTTTGACTGCCATGCAAATGAGGAACAAGATTGGAGGGTGTTGAATAATTTGTAATCTAATCTATCAAAATAATAGCTTTATATTAGAGCTTTCACTTAAAACAAACGCACTCTTTGACACTTTAAAATATAATTTTCATATTATTAGACTCCAAAAGAGTACGTAAACTTCGGTTGGAAGGAAAATTCTTCTAGTCTATAGGCTCTTTATACAACAGACAGAGAAAGAAGCACATTGAACGGGAAAGGGTGGGAAATACAGAATACTGGATGGAGGGACAAAATCATCACTCATCGCTGCTTGCACTGATTCCGCAGCTGCTGCTGCTGCTGATGCCGCTGTTGTAGCATCCGAGAAAATCCCCCAATGAATAGCAAGTTGCAAACTGCATTTGAATTGCAAACCCAAGTCCCCTTAACCCCCTGCCAAGCAGCAACTACCCACATTAGTTTAGCATATGTTTTACATAACTGAGAGTCGGAACTGGGAGGCTGGGACCACGACTGTTCCCCAAAGCTGAACTGAATCCTCGGCTTATGCTCCACTTCTATCTGTCTGAACTTTCCTTTTTTTTTTTCTTTTTTCCTTTTTTGCTATTTCATTTTCATTATTTTTTGTTTCACCGTGTTTTGGTACACTGAAAAGTATTATTGGATCTGATATAATATCTGATATAATATATTCTAGAGGTAGATAAAATATTTCGAATCTTTAGCAAGTTTTTATTTACTTGCCATGAATAACATTCATTTTAACCACATAATCTTTCTGTGTTGAATATTTTCCTCAGTGCAGCTGGGCACTTCCTGTTTGTCCTATCGCTAATCTACACTACATCTCTCGGCTTGGAATTCTAGTTTCGTTGCTGCTTCAGCGGAAATCAAAGATTGAGCGTTTCGGTGGTCCACAAAATGTACGCAGCTGAGCAACAAAATTTATTGAAATGGCAAAAGGAAGACCTTGATCTTTAGATTATCACATCAATAAATGGTTTTCGTTTTTAATTCTTTTTTTTTTTTTTTTTTGGTTTTTGTGTCGCAGTCGTTTTGCCGCTGTTCTTTTATTTTTATTTGGCGGCATCTTCAGCATCTCGTCTTTAACCTCTTGTTGTTCTTGTTCTTTGACGTGAAAGAAGCGAAAACGAAACCAAAACTGAAATCAAAAAATGAAACGGAAACTGGTGGAACCAGTCGAACAGCAGATCATGATGATGATGATGAAAAAAGCGACATAAAGCCAAACCCACCGAACTGACCAGGCCAAAAGAACTTCTTCGGCTAATTAAGAGTTTTGGTTAGCGCCAGTTAACTTGTATTCTTCGGATCTGGAAATCCAAAATCTCGTGCCATTAATTTAAATGCAACTCTATTAAGGCGAGTCGCTGTGCTGCATGAAGTCACATCGCAACTTTAAGATTGCTTCTCGCGAAACGTATTCCACAAATGACGCTTACGTGATTACATAAAGACCCATAAAAAGTGATTTGAACTTGAAATCGTTAAATGCGTCATGCAATTGAAACAAATACATGCCAACAAAAACAAAACGAACGCTTGTTAACAACAAAAAAAATGGAAAAAAGGAAAAAGAGACTAGAGAAAATCACTGAAATCTGTGGAAATAAAAACGTACTAGCCATAAAATTGTTACAATGACAACGGACAGGCAATGGCTAAAACAACGGCAACAACAGCGCAGTTTGCCAGTAGATCAAATTGAATAACTGCTTAAGCTCTCAGCAGCAGCAGCAACAGCAACAACATCAGTCAACTATATAACAAGAAGATCAACAAAAGCAGGCAAAGTCGAAAAGAGCGCATCAATTAGGCTTATAACCATGTATATACCTCTCTCTATATATAATTCTATATAGTATAACATTCGTGTTCTGGCCAATGTTGATGCTGTCACTGCAATTGCTGCTGCTGCTGTTGCTGTTGCTGTTGCTGCCGCCCTCTGTTAAATGACAATTGCTGCTGTCGTAACAGATGTTGCTGCTGCTGCTGTTTTTGCTGATATTCTCATTGCTGTTTCGGCTTTTTGCAGTTGCGAACTTTGCTATTGGTCCAAAATGATATTGTTTTTGCCATTGGCATAGGCTCTGATGTTGCTGTTGTGGCTTTTGGTGTTTCTACTTGGCGGTTGCCGTTGCAGATGCTGCTAATGTGTTGGCTTTTGGTGTTGGTTCATGTCTTGTTAGCTTGACTTTTGATACCTTGGGTGGTTTTCTGCTATTTTAATTTGTTTATTGGAGGTGCTGAAGTGGCTACTAATTTACTAGTTAAAGTTGGTTTTGTTTGGTTTTATATAATTTATATCAGGAAATTATAAAGTTTTCTTAAAGCAATTTTCATATCTACACTCCTTAAAATAGCTAATGTATACAATCTCATGAAGAAACCTCAATAAATCTGCAATATTTATGCAAATGCATATCCACTATCTTAAGAACTAAAGAATAAATAGCCACCCCAAGCATGCAAATATGAAACAAAGATGCCTTTGGAACCAACAGACCACATTACTCACCTGCTCAAGTGTGAAATGTAATTAGAAGACATGTTCTATCTGGCGATCTGATAACGAGCTTATGTCAGCTTCCATTGTGAGTCACAGATAGTGTTTCTTGGCCAAGACAAATCCGACAGCATTGTCAAACAAGATTCCTATCTTCAGAACGTGCACTTCAAATTTGCAAACTAACCAAGCTGATTTCGCCTTGAAAATGAAAAACTCATGCGATTTATGTCTTTTGTCGACATTCATTTATAAATTCTCGAAAATTTATTTGCAAGGACCTAAGAAACGAACTAAAAAGCCTCACAGCAATTCAATTTCGCTTTCAATGGCAAACAAATGAAATGTCACTGAGGGTTAAGTCAGTCGAGGAAGCCGCTTAGAGCCAAAAACAAATTAGCAGCAAAATATGGCCAGGCGGCAAGATGCAAATGCAAATTCAAATTCGAAAATTGGATTGTCCGGGCTTTCTGGTCTGGCTGGCCGGGGGCCTAACAGTTATAGCCGGAAGCGAAATTCTCATGTCCTGTGGACCCGAAATTCGCATGACAATGACAATTATCCGAGGCAAGTGACTATTATCCCAGCCCAAGGGGCGTAGGAGGTGAGGGGGGTGTGGTGTTGAGGACACGCCCACACAATGAGGGATAATTGTGAGTTACGCATACGCCAAGTGGGCCCCAGTATGGGTTTGATTTTATTGCCCACCGCCTGGACCCCAGAGCCAAAGCCAATTTGAGCCTGGACCGAGCAATTTGGCCAAAAAGGAAGCCAAACAGCCGAGCGGGGAAAAAAATGTGAAAATGAAAATGGGCAGAGACACACATTTCGGGAGCCTATAGAAATTTCCAAGTTTCCTTTTTTTTTTTTTTTTTAAGAAGAAGGAGGAATCCCCTTCGGTAAATTGAATTGAAGCGTCGACAGAATGGGCAAGGCAATTCAATATCAGGAGGCTGTCTGCTCTCCATATGTGTCTTTCTGGGTACACAGTGGAAAAAAATTTATAGGGTTAATACTTTTAAAATACTAGAAAAAACCTTATAATGAAATATATTTAAACAGAATTTATTTCTAACTAAAATATTACAAAATCTTTTACAAAATTTAAAAGTCTTATTCTTATTTCTTTCAGTGCTAATATCTATATATGCACTTGTGTTTCGGGAACAAGGACACGGGAATCATCACGAATCGTTCCCTTGAAGGACCGCAGTCCAATCAGTCCAGTGAAACTGTCGTTGGTAATTGATTTTGGTTTGGGCCAGCCCAAGCTAATTAAGTTATACGATTTCCTCTCACACAGCTCCTCCAGTCATTGATTATATTGTAATAATTAGCGATAGTTATGCAATTACTCCATGCTGTCATTGTCAACCTAATCAATGGTCCCAAACACGATTGATGGGTGCATTGTAACGACCAGGTCTATTTTTTAGATGGTATTTCAACAGGTACCACTCGAAGCAGAAGGCCTCCGTCTTGAGGAAGTCAAGTTTTTCAATGGGAAATGCAATCGATTCTAGGTAAAAGAGACCTTTGTTTAAGTGGTCCACCAAAGGAGTTCGGGTTCGGGTTAGCAAGCGTAATTTAACTATGAATTTAGTATTCAAGATTTCAAATTAAATTGTTAATTACACATTTTACTCACCATTATTTAGCTTGGTCATCGCATTATAAGTGCAGGAATAGGTAATAAGAATATGTGTGTAGTCCGTAAACAGGATATTGGTATCAAAATATGCTGTAAAAGAGATTTTCAGGGGAGTGGTTAAAGATTCTTAGAAGATACTCACGAGTATTTTGAACATTGTAAGAGGCACAGCGACGCTGAAAAACGGGCATGTCCAGAGGGGTTGTGGCATAGGCAAACCAGACTCCCAATAACTTAAATTTAATACTTATTTAAAAGCTTTTAAAGTTTTAACTAAATATCTTACTTTTATTTTGTTTACATTTTTCAAGGTCTTAACAACGGGGCACTTTTTCACTTCAAATGAAGTCAGCAAAGGCTTCACCCCGCTCCTTTGCATCAGACGATATTTGATTCCATTCGAAGAACTCACTAGAAAAGTCAGTAAAAAGCTAAAGTAGAACAACTGCATTAGTTCGGAGTAAATATTGTTGTTTTCCAATATTTTAGCAATGGCTTTTAAATTTTTCGATTGCTAATGAATTCGTTGCGGCTTTTTAAAGCGTCTGCTTGATTTTTACATTGTTGTCAAAGTTTACGTGCCGCATTCTGTAAAAGTTTTGGTTTTATTTGTTATTGCATTTATTTAACTTTTGTTGAGTGTTGTTGTTATATTGCAAAAGAATTGCATAACGAATGGCGGCAGAATGATTGTTGTACTCGTACATATTCCATCACGGAAACGTGCAGCGGAATCGGAAACGGGGCACGGACATTCGCAATTACGCTCCGCCGTTGTCTGTCGATGTATTAACTTGGTCCATGGAATTTCACTTCCAACGATTTGCATCTGCATCTGCATCGCTTGCTGCTGATGTGATTATGTCATCGCCATTTCGCCATTTGGTTCACTGATTCGACAAGGTTCCAACGTGTCTTCGTCCCAAGTTGTAAATAATTGTTTTAGTCGCCAGAATGATTCCATCTCTATCTGGGTTTACCATTTGGGCAGTGCTACTGATGCTGCTCCTGATGGAACTGGTTGAGGTGTGGTCCCACTGCTGCCATTGTCCTTCTACCAGGTGCAATATACCCCAATGGCCGTGCTGCGATAAGAACTCCAAGTGGTATCATTCATTTTTTGGCTAAACTGTGGGAGTATATAATAATGTTTTTTGTAAATTAAAAGTATGAAAAATAATATTAGGAGTTGCTGTAGATGTGTGTTTTACTTTATATGAATTACATTTCTGTGTTATTTTGCTAAACATTTGATTCCATTAAGCTATTTCCCTTATCCAATGTCAGAATTTTCATAATTTCCCAATCCCTTTAACTCCCTTTAACTTTCCTAGCGGCAAAGTGTTTGCTTTCAAGCATGGATGCTCTACTTTTAAGGGCATTAAACAGCATAATTTATTTATTTTCAATTAAAATCTGTTCAGACTCGCCGCCTCTTGCTGTGGAATTCACTGCTTATGGGGAGGAGCTTTTATTTTTGGTCAATTTTGCGCAACAATTATGTAAGCCCACGAACTTTGGCCCCGGTTTTCCCCCCCTCCAAAAAGCCACCCGTTACCCTCCCTCCCGCTGGCCAACAACTTGACTGCTCGACAACGTCAAATGATTTATTCAATTTGTGCTATGAAGCGTAAACTTTTTGTTTGCTCGTTGGCTGCGGAAGTTCACTGTGTGAATCAATCGCGGGAGTCATGGATCCTCCTCTACTCCTCCGCCACCGGGAAAACTGCAATTTAAATAGTTCTTCCTCATGACAATAGCCTGGGCCAGGAGATCAAAAGGGTTTTGAATATTTAACTTGATGTTGTGTTCAGTTTTGTGGTTAATAAAGATAGAAAATATAGAAATTTTTCCTATTTTTGGCCATTCATTTATAATTACAACCGTTTGTGCTTATTCTGCCATGTAAAATGTTCCACATTATTGCACTTTGCTACTTGATTTGTTTACGACTGGTAAACTCCTCCGGATCCTTTTATTTTACGACAGGTTGGGCCGAGAAAAAAGTTTTCTTTTTACAGCGTTATTAAGTTAATTACTTTTGCCGTCGGAAAGGGTGCTTATGAAATGTCGGCCTGCAGACTAATAATTAATAAGCATTTAGTTGGACACACCTCGAGGCGCTCTCCAATGATGTTGTCAAAAAGCGTGAGCTGTTAAAAAGTATATTTCATATTTGATTTTTATGATGCATTTCGCACGCCCCTCAATTGAAGGGCGAACGTGCCTGCCACTCGATGATTTCACCAGCCTTCAATAACAGAGCACGACGAAGAGAGTTGAGTATGAGTTGGGAGAAGAGAAAACTTCCACGATGTGAGAAAGTGAAACCATAATTGCTAAGGAGCCGGCAATTGCTTGAGTTATGGTTGTGGATCTTTATTGGGATCCACTGTGCTGATTTGATGATAAGATAAGTTTGGGAGATTAAACAGATTGAGATTGAAGGGTTGAGAAAATTGCATTATAGATGGGAGATGAGCAAGATATTGCTAAATTGAGTTAGCAAAGAAGTATGGTTAATGAATTCGACTATAGGAGAGATTAAAACGTTTATAAACTTTAAAACTTAAAAAACTAAAATTTAATCTAAGATAAAGCTGTACCTAACAAACCCTTTAGCATAATCTTCCTTCTGATCCTTAAACTTTGAAATATTCCTTTTCCATAAACTTCTCAGAGAGAAACAGCAACTGTGCCCGGCAGACATGCGTCAGTCTGTCAAAGTATCGCAAAATGTGTTGCTCGTATAAATTTCATTTATGCCAGTTAAATTAATTACTGTCAACACATGCGAAGCGGCAGCTCCTCAGCTACCACCACTAGCACAACCACCAACATCGCCGAGAAGAGCCAGAGTAAAAACAATTGCCAATCAGGCACAGAAACTAAAGCAGGCCAAGCGTCCAACCAAAAGTCCAAAAACAACGCAGGAAACTTGGACGGAGAGTGCTGCGAGCGTCGAGCGTGTTGCGAACATAAACACAAAGTCATAAAGTTTTTACACAAAAACATTTAATTTTATTGCATTTTTGGGCAGCAGCCAGACCCCCAGACCTCCAAGCCCCCCGAATCCGAATCCGAAACCAGACGACGTTGTGAACAATGCACCAACCAAAAAATCGGGGTGGAGGCCAAAGCAGGCGATGGCAGTGGGCGTTGGGCGGTGGGTGGGTGTGCTCCGATGGGCGAGCATGGTCTGCTGGCCAGGCCAACTTAATTTGCCGCAAATCGAGCAAAACTGCAGCAAACAGAAGCGCTCGGGAGAAGCGGACCGAATATCGCACACAATTTTCGTCAGGACAGGCATGTTATTTTAAAAACTACACAAAATAAGTTGGTGAAATGTGGAAATGAAAGTAGGAAATTTAGACCACAAAACCATTTGATTATGCAGCCATAGTTTAAAGGATAGAATATTGAACATGCAGGTAATATCAACTTTAAAAGGAAATTGATCGAACCTTCACTAAAAATTAAATGTTATTATTTTTTAGGGATTAAAATAAGTTGTTGCTTACTTTTAAGCAACTTTATAAAGTGAGAAGACTCTATGAAACATCTTACTTGAAGATAACAAAAATATAGTTATATTTACTAGACTTAGTAATTAATGTGTAAAGCTGCATGACTGTGTACAGTATTTCCTTCTGAGAAGAGTAAAAACCATGAGAGTTTTGCAGTTGACTAGATGGATGTGGCCGATGTTCTCACACGGCTCGTGTGGCAGGCACTGTTGACGTCAGCGGCATTTGTGGAACTCTTGGCGAAAACACAGAAACACAATGTCGACATGCATCTGCTGTTGTTTAGACAACTTCTTGTCTTGGGACTCTCAAACTGAAACGGGAAACCGAAAAATCAGTGTAGCGACCAGGCGGCACACTGAAATATGGGCCAAGCAGAGTTCTTTTCTATTCTTCTGTCTGGAGGTTTATCTTTTTTTTTTTTTGTTAACCGCGTCTTCTCAGAAAACCCCCGCCATTGCCCAAAAACCATTCACATTTTTGGCATGTGCCTAAAGTGCAGCATTAAAATAAGAATTATGCGGCAGACGGCAAACTACAGACCGCAAAATGCAAAATGCAAAATGTAAAATGCAGCACGAAAAGAGAGAAATAAAAACGTCCAGCGTGCGTATACGTAATGTGCATTAACATCAACAAGTGTGGAGGAAAATTCGCGTAGATTTGTGGGTCTTTCTGGGTGTTGGAAAATGTGTGCACGCTGCAAATTGGGAAGCGTGCCAGAAACAAAATTTTGGTCGATGTGATTTCAAAATGATTTTCAATGCAGGGCCTTCGAGTGCCGCAGAATGTTTCAAATGAAGATGATTATGCCAATGATAATCATGGCGGTAATTGCTGACCAAAGTGCTGTGTATTGTGGCTAACTCTGTCTGGTTAAAACTCACGTATAGATCGCTTATCGTTTTAGATTAGGAGGAGGGAAGAAGTGTTTTTAGCGGTTTTTTAGTTCTAGGCAACTTTCCCCTTCATGGTTTCTTTGATTTTGAAATAATCGATTTATTTTGCTCAAAGTGGCATTAAAACGTGAATTTTTCACAATATTAATGTACAGTTTTTCTTTGCCTTCCGATGAAAGGTCCTTCGAAATCCCCACCATATGTTCCTTATTTCTTCCGTTGCAGACCAACCCCTCGTGAAGGCAACTGTCAGTGTCAGTGTCGGATGAACAACAATAAAGACATTTACATATGGCGTGGGGTGTCTGCTTAGACATGAGACCTGATCCCCAACCCAAGAATTCAACGCAACACAGTCCCTCCCCCTCTTCGTGTGGCAATTCAAGGACAACCTAAACATACCAATTTACGTTGGTCGGGAGTATAGAGATTTGGACGGCGATAAAAGCATCCGGGACATGGCCCGCGACCTCTGACCCCCGCCCTCTCCTGGCCACGCCCCCTGGCCTGGCCAGGACTGAAGGCTCAAGGCTGAAGGCTCCTGGCTCCTGACGCCTGGCCTGTGCCCCATGGCATATGTCTGCGATGCTCATTAAGGGCGCACAGCGTGGCGTGGCTAATGTGACAACAACGTGGGGCAATTCCTTGGCTTTATGGAGGGGATAGGGGGAGGTCTAGTAGACAGCCCCGCGGGGATTTTCATTTGATTTTGCAGTCAGTGGCCACCATTTTTTTGTTATTTTCCTACCCGGCATTTGTCAGGGACAAGGGTATCTAGCTTATTTGAAGGAATAAAAAATAAAACAAATCGTAACTAAATAACACATCATAGAATGGTGTGTTTTATCTTATTTAGATTCTACATTTTATAGTAATAAGTTTCTTTGTATAGGAAAGTAAGTTATTTAAAACTATTTTAAAACCAAATCCACAAGTTGAATTATCAGGATTCCTTTTGTGTAAATATTAGCAAAAGAAGATTTTCTTTTTATTTGCTTAAAGCTTATCCGAAATGAAATCTTTTTAAGTCAATATGCATAATACAAGACACCAGGTATCTCAAAGTCGGAAAACATAACCAAATCCATCGCCTGGTTTTTCTCTACTCTTTTGTTGTTTTTTCCTTAGGCTTTGACGGCGATGGGGCCAAGTTATTTGTTTTAGAAAGGAGTTAGTGAGAGACGGGGGTGTACAAAAATGGGATGGATAAACAGGGGAAGGGAGTCGAAAGGCCGGTTTCGGCCTTTCAACTTTTATTCTTTACCCGACGCTTTTATTGTTCTGTTTTCACTGCGGTAGTCAGTTCTGTTGTTGCTGCTGCTGTTTTGGGTAATTCAATTTACTGCCACAATTTTCATTTGTGCAAATTTCAAATGACTCGAGGATATACACAGTATATATATATATATATATATATATATATTTAGGTTTATATATCAGAGCGTCCAGTTCTTGGGGGTTCGCCTGGGAAGCATTTCATGCACAATTTGTTTGGTCTTTTATTTTTATTTCGCCGCATTGTGAAAAATTTGCCTTGACGCTGGCTGTTTCACTTACTTGATTTTCTTTTCTTTGAATTGTTTCCGACTTTTGGGTCGAGCCAATTTTGTTTTCGGTTATGCCTAAGGGTTTTTCTTGTGATTTTCAATTCTAATCAATTCTTAAAATACCTTCATTGTTTCCCCCATGGGGTAACTGATTTTTATGAATATATTTTTAGAGCTCAAACAAAAAGGTTAAAAATATTCTTAATATATTTGCATACCTTACTGATTCTTGGACTTTTGTAAAATAGCTTTAGTTAGCTTAATCTGTGCTTCTAGAGCTAATCTGTAAATGTTAAATAGAAGGTAAGAGACTGCAAAGACTGTGAGCGAGTTCAAGAGAAGCCTCGCGGAGTGTCTCTCTCTTTGGGTAACACCTCTCTTTGGTTCTCCGTTTAACAGAGACGTGATGCTGCATTTGGCTTTGGGTCTCTTTGCGTCTGTTAAGCCAGTGGAATATTAGACAAACTACCGCACTAATACCAAAAGAAAGCCATTAAGATTAAGCCATGTCAGCTTTATTTTTAGTTTCTACTAACTATAGTTACACAAATTTCCTTAATATTTTACTGTAAACTTAATGATTTCATGACCACTTAGCGTGCTGATTATGTTAGATGATAACAGCTTTGAGATATGATTTGGTTCTATTTTTATAGGATGGTCTTGATAAGGGCTATTTTTAAATTTAAATATGGGAATTTTAAGATTTGATTAGCTGTTTTTAAAAAGTTTAAATATTAATCAGATTATTCTCAGGTGATTGTGAGAGATTTATTTTATTAAGTCTTATGAAATTTCTTCATATATTTCAACATATTTTTATTGATAAGCTAAGCACTTTTGATATTTTAAAGATCACTCATGCTTAAGACGTACATTATATTAATAATAGCTTTTTTTAAATAAATTTAGTTATGCTTTAAAGAGTATAAAACATTTACGAATAATAAATAATATTTTAAAAAAGGCCTATTGTTCATTGGAGAATCTCTTAGGTTACGAAAATGATTTAAAGTAACATTCTCTTAAGCTAAAAACTACCCTTAGAACTCTTTCGCCGTTATCCTCGACTGTTATTACTTAGACCATCGAACTGTTAAGGTTATTGGCCGCTGTTAGTGACTCTACCTTCACTCTGCATCCTTGGCGTCCTATCCTGACAGCTCAGCAGTTCAGTGCAAATGGTGTAGAAAATTTTAATACTCCCCAGAGAAGCATTCGGTGCTTTGGCTGTCTGAGTTGGGCTCCTTGGGCGAAACGTGTCCAAGCGAAAGCCGTTTTCCATGAACGATTGAAGGCGGCCAACAATCCGTGAATGACATTGTTGCATCAATCATGACATGCCAATATTGACCTATCAATTCCTTTGAGTTTGGTCTCTGAATAAGCCTTTGATTAATGGCAAGACCAATGACAAGGGTTAAACTGAAAAGTTGTGAAATTAACTAAAACAAATGATCCTGTGATTGCATTTTATGGGCCAGGACCAGAGCGTTGAATTCATTAATAGTGTTTGCAGTTGAATTCCTAGACGACATTTTTTGTCCTTTGTCTTCGTGCAAACAAATGGCCAACGCAGCATTTTTGGCAGCCATTCAAAATGGCCAGCAATTATTTGATATTTGATTTCAGCCCCCTTTTGATTCTCCATCGCTTCTATCAACGCTTCGTATACGTAATGGATGTAACAACATTTTAGTCGAAACCCCAAACACGCCTTGACAATTTCCTTTCTCAATTCAACCGAATTCCCAACAATTTTTCAATGCCATCGCAATAGATATATGTAACAATGTGTGTGAAAAAGTACTCGTGCCGTTGGAAAGTATTATTTGTTGCTCTGACCATAGCGAAAAGTGATTTACTATTTCTATTCGCCTGTGTCTGAGTCTCTGTTGCTATTCTGTCGATAAAAGCAATCAAAGGTTGATTTATTGTCCTCACTATTTCTTGACAGCCACGGGGCAAATTTTTGGTAGAATTTGTCGACAGAATACGAAGGATGGTTACAAAGTACCTAAGGAAAAGGAAAAGAATGCATTTTACAAGAAATATCTAGGATTTCAGTGGCTATAACATGGTGCATGTGTAATTTATGCAAGGGATTTCAAGAAACTAAAAGCTTTATGAAGTGATATTCAAACAGAGAGAAATTTTCCACAGAAAAAATAGTTGATTTCAATGTGAAAAAATAAATAAATAAAATAATATATAATTTTTTTACAGGCAGCACTTAAAATATTTGGCAGAACCATTATATATTTTGTTTGAAATATTTTCTCTCCAAGCACTTGGTAGTAACCGGAACAGCAAAATATTTGATTTCCTCTTGAAAATACCAACGTTATCCCTTCTTCTTTTTTTTTTGTGATTTTTCCATTTTACATTGTTGGGGTTTCCAGCCGCCGCCTGAGTTATTTTCTCGTTTACAGTTAACCGGTCGCAAACGCACACACACACACACACTCACTTTAACATGCAACAATTGCCCCCGCCGAATGCCGCCGGTCAACAAAAACAACAAGAGCCGCAACAGGAGCACCACAAAGCCTTATTGATTTTTGACTTGAATGCGGTTTATAAAATGGTTTTATACCCTTTTAGAGGGTCGATTATTTATTTGGATTAAAACATTGTTTAGGTTTTTAATAAACTAAATTATAGTTAATGATATATTAATTTATAACATCCTCTTACTTCCCTAAGTCGACGATGTCTTTTCAAAGACACTTTGTGCTTAATTATCGTATCGAGAATGAATATTGTATAATTTTGAAATCTAGAGATTTTCTTACTTGGCCTTGGAGCTGTTTCATGAAATAAAAGGGTATTCAAATTTCGGCTTTCCTCACCTACCCAGCTTTAACCCAGCATTTTTTTGCCCAACACAATGGCAGTGACAGGATCAGACAGCAGAGTTGGGGACTGCATTGAAGCCGTTTTGCCAGGACATTTAGAAAAATACATATTTATGTTCTTGTGGGTCTCCGTGTTTGCTGCTTTAAATGGCCTGGAAAATCAGTTTGAGTGGCAGGCGCAATTTAGTTAGAGTTGCCGAGCTTCAGCCAAAAAAGAAAAGCCCAACTTAACTTTTGCATGGCACTCGAGAGGCAAACTGCTTGAAAGGCATTCATATTAACAATCGACACGTCGCTCGGTGGGTTAAGGGGCACAACGCAGGGAGGTCATGACGGAGGAGAGTTAAGGCAAAGTTGAAATGCACAATTTACTGGAGACAGCCAGAAATGGAATTGGGCAGAAACTGGAGGAGGATTAAGGACGAACGAGATCCGGCAGAAGGCAGCAACAAAAGGCGCCTAACAAGCAAGGGGCAACAAACATGATAAAGTAAAACAAAATGAGCAACACTTGACGGTGTCAAAAGGAAAATAAGAGAGTTAAAAAAAAGCTTAACTAAGTTTTGTGTATATGTTTTAATTTAACGACAAAGATATACTCTTTGGGAACATATTTGTATTTAATGATTTGAGAATAACTTTCTGCTACTTTCTGGGCATTAAGAAATTCATTCTCTTTAACAAAATTATCATAACATTTTTAAAGCATTAATCAGTTGCATATTTTTTTACATTCATGACTGTTTTTAATAAGCAATGAATAATATAATGTTGGGATTACAAGGATTACACATACTTACAGTGGAATTTACCCACAAATTAGTACATAAGTCATTAGTAAAGGAGGTATTGTCCCATAAATCATAAAATAATCCTGTACAGGCACCTCTAAAGCATTTATAATGCTGATTAATGCACAATTAGAAGGGATAATATTTTATCGTAACCAATAAATTAATAATGAGAAAGTCATAAAAGCTTTCATATGGTCCTCTAATCAGCACACACTTGTTGTAGACAATAATAACAAATGACATTAATAAGATATAAATTCTTTTTTGTTAACCATCAAATAATAATATTTGCAAATTTCTTTTAAGACTTACAACCCACCTATCACTCGCTTAGATCTAAATGCCCCATTTTCCGTCAGGGTATAACCAAATTCCGTCGCAAAAAGGTGTTACTATCTTCCGTGAGAGACTGATGCAGGCGCCATTCTTTTGGCCCAAGTCTACGTTTCTATGTGTGGAAAAGTGCGAGTTTTTCCCGTGTTTTTGTGTGAGGGCGAGTGCTACTGTCTGTTTGTGTTAATGACAAGTGTTTTCGTGTTGTATATATGCTCCTCTTCCTTTTTTTCGTATGCGTCGCGTAATGACAAGGAGGATGTCGATGAGTATAATGACAACATCAATGCTGATGGCGATGGGAGTGGGCATGCGGGTGGAGATGGGAATGATGGCGCAATGGGGATGGGCATGCCACAGGAGCCAGCAGAAGCTTAAAGTGCTTGTTAGGATTTTTTTGTCGCCATTTGCCTACCTCAAAGAGAACGGGGGTGTGTTGGTACTTTGAAAAGTGTTGGTAAAATAATGTAGGGTATTATTTGATAGATAAAGATGCAAAGTCTTCAGGGTTATAGAACCTCATAACACTTTTTATAAATATGCTTTCCATTTGAAGCAGTTAAAAGAGAGTATCACTCTTACAGTTAGGCAACAAAAATTCTACAAAGTATCCCCTAGTCGGGCATCCAGGTTACCTTTTTTTCATTTTGTTATCCCATTGATGACGATGATGATGATGATGATGTCGATGAGGCTGTCAATGCGGAATTGAGCTGCGACATAAACACGTTGTCAAATCGAACGCGTGAGTGCTCACGTGCTCGCCGAGCAGAACGGCTAAGGGTATGGGCGACTCTGCATAAATGTGGAGGCAGTTCACCTCGGTTAGCACGTGCTGTCCGGGTTCTTTGTCAATAGATTGGTATACAATCCACTTCCTGGTGGCGCTAACCTGCCTGATGAAAATCTTCCATTAATGTGATTTATGACAGATTTGTGCTCTTCCACTTGTAATTTATATTTATTACCCACCTTATTTTGCCTATTCACATTGTCTAGAGGTCCTCGGTGGAATCCACAGCTGTCACGCAGCCATGACAAGTTGATCCCTTGGGTTTTTTTTATACTGGGTTTTCGCTCAAATGTCATTTTTGTATTATCACTCTCGGGCAGTAATAAAATAAATCTTTGAAAAGGTTAATGGGATATGTCAGCTTTTTCTTTCCCTTAAAAATGCTTTAATTACTGAATTTTTAGTAAAGGTAAAGGGTTCTTGTTTATAATATATTAAACCTGATTTTTTAATTGAAAATTTAAAACAGAAGTTAGAAATTATCATATTCACTAAGTCGAATCATCAGAAGCCTCAACTTTCTGGCCTCCATGCCAATGGTCAGTGGATTCTCCGGTTCCTGTTCGGTGGCTGAAAAAATGTTTGCCGGCGTAAAAAGGCCGTAGGCCTCGCAAAAGCGCAAAAAGTTGAGGACCTCCTGGAACGGTGGCATAGGGCAGGATGATGTTTTGCTTGGCCATGCCGGTCAGAAGCCCCAGGATGCAACGTTTCACGTGCAGCCAGGTGTCGGCATACAGGCGGTTCCCAGACCCACCCTCTAGGGCATGGGCGATGCGGGACAGGCCGAATTCATAGTTGGATTTGGCACAGTACAGAGTGCCCACAACCAGATTGACAATGCACAGATGGTGGTATTGCTTGCCCAGATTGCCCTTCAGCTCCTCGGCCTTTTCCACCTTGCGCATCAGCTCCTCGGCCTCCTCGTTCTGGAATGTCATGATGTAGGATACGCACAGGTTGGCCAGCACCGCTGCCGAAACGGTCATGATCTGTGTGACATGAGGGATTGGGTATGAAAATTGGGAAATGGCAGAAGGTATAGTCGAATGAACCGACTATGGGATGCCCAGTGTTTTTAAGATATTTGGGGAGAGTTCCTTTAGAATTCTTCTTGAGTTCTTAAACCTGCATGCTAGGTCTTTGTGATGAATTAAGCGGAATATTTCAAATAAAAACTTTGTAACCAATATACCCTTGCTATCTTGGAATACTGGACATTAACATGGTTCATAGCTGTGGGAATGGCTTGGATGGTTTAATCTCACATCATCTGAGTGCTGTCGCACGATGGGCTCATAAAAGGCAGCCGCCTCGTTGTATTTGTCGCCCTGCATGAAGAGGACATGTCCAGCGTTCAAACGCCAAATGGAGTTCTCCGAGCAGAATTCAGCACTTGAATGGAATTCCCTTTCAGCTCCCACAAAATCATCATCCCGCCAGGAAATCCAGGCTCGAGCCATCACCACAGGTAGGTATCTGTATAAGAAAGAAGAGATTAGCCATTATTTGAGATTTTTCAAGGAGTATACTTACAGTTCCAATGCTTGTTCATAGTCCTTGAGGGCATCCCTGAGTGCCTGTTGCTCATTGGTGGCCCTAACCTCCTGAACTTTGGCGGCCAGGCTACGCAGCTTACCGGCCAGACTGGAAGCCAGAGTTCCAAGTTTCTTCTCGGCCAACTCAGCACTAGTTTGTGCTGTTATTAGGGCATCCAAGAGTTCATACAGATACTGCGAAAGATACTTGTAGGTGAGGTCCGTGTGCTCGGCCAGGATATCCGCAGCAGTTTCGTATAGTTCGTGCTTGCAGCAGATCAGCAGGATGTTGGCGAAGGTCTCCTTGGGACAGGAGGGAGCACCCAGTTCCAAAAGGAATGCCAGTTTCCTCAGACCCGCCACTGGACCCTGGACATCGGTCAAGGCCATATTGTGCAACGTGACCGGATCTAGTTCGCTTTCAGCTCGAGGTGGAAGGTCCAAGAGGGCATCCCTAGCTGCCTCCTCATTGCCATCCTGATACTCCAAGGCTGCCTTTAAGTTGAGTGCTTGAGTTATCCCCGAAATGGCCATGGTGATGGGATTGCCCACACTCCTGGCACCACCATCGGGAATATCCACTTGGGCGCCAATTCCCAACTCTGGATGATTTCGCATCCCTCTCTCCACAATCTCGGAGGTGTAATCCAGAGCTTGAGCCCTTTGTTTTCTTTGAAAATGAGCCAAAGCCACATTGTAGGCCACTAAAGGATTGAAGCCACCCACTTGAAGAGCTGCCTGGAATCGCTGCACCGCCGCCTCATGCTGATCCGCTTGGAACAAGAGGCATCCCTCGTCGTTAAGGGTATCGGCTGTGCCTCCTGCCCGCTGATTCAATAAGCCCTGTGCCCCGGCAAAGTCCTCGCTGGAGTATAGAATAGCACTCTGTAGCTGGAGGCAGTGTTCCCGGAGCTCATCCTCCTGGTCTCCAATCTGCTTGAGGACCCGCAACGCTTCAGCAAAGATTCCAGCCTGGTACAGCGACTGGGCGTAGTAGAATCTGAAATAAATCGATGAGTTTAGGATATTGTTAAGCTATATGTTTAGTTTCCTCTTAATACAAGCTTTTCCTCAACTCCTTCTGAGCTCAAAACTGTTGAGATGGGACAACATACATAATTCGATTTAATTTAAATTACAATCTACATACACTGATTAACGCACCTGTACTTGGCTTCTTTGGGCGCCAGCTGGCACAGTTGCTCATAGCAGGTGGCCGCCTCCTCGTACTTCTGGGCGTGGTAGTAGCAATGTCCCAGGGTAGATAGACCCGCCCTTGTGTTGGCCGCCTCACCAAAATTGGTTATGCACTCGATCACGTCCTCGTAGCGCTTGTCTTTGATCTGAAGTACTCCGTCCCTTAGTGTGTGTGTTTATATTTAATTTATAATTATGTTACGGTTTACCAGATTGTATATTGTCCTGGTTACATGTCCCTCGCGCAGGATTATTCCCTGATGCAACATTTTCGCTCAGCAGTTCGTCGGTAAATGAAAAATTCATTTGAAAGTCCTTTGTTATGGTCGCTCGCCGGGATTTCCATGGTAACCATTATTTGTTTTCCATGGAAGTAGCATGGCAACGCTTTTGCAGGTAACTAGCAACAGTTGGTTGTCCAACATGGGAAAATAAGGGTGGTTGAAAAAGTCAAATTATAGTTAAAGAAGGGTTAAAGCAGTTAACAATTTAAACGAGTTTGGTATTTTAAATTTGGTCCAAGGAAAAATATGCAGATATTCCGGTAGCTTAAAACTTAAACATCCTTCAAAAGTACAAACATTTAATTTTTCATATTTAATGTAATGTTTCATAACATTTAATGATTGAACTTTTCAACTGCCATAAATTTAACCAAGCAAATGATATAATGCTTAAGAAATAGAGAAGAAAATTCATTCCTCGGCCAAAAACTCTGCTATAAAAACCAATTAAGATAGAGCCAAACGGTCGCAACGAATCCATTTGAAATGTAAATGAGAAAATTGTCTAATTGAAAACTTTAGCATCTTGATGGTGAGCTCCTGCTGGCCGCTCCAGCGTCTCCTTGACTTTTTGATGGAAGACTTAAAGTGTTAACTGGAAGCTGCCAACCGGAGGCATTAATCCGTGTTGAAGCCTTTCAGGCGGCCAGTTCAAGGAGCACTTTTAATTAGGTTTCCACAAGGAGCAGCAACAGTCTCCTTGTGGAAATCCCATACTGACAACCACTAAAGCGAACGTGCGGAAATGCTAATTAGATTCTGTGTCTGTCTGAAAGTCAAGCCAACTGGGAGTAACCAAAAGGCCAGTAGTCAAGCTCGTATTTGAGGAGTGGGTGGAGGTGGTGGCTAAAGCCTGACTTCGAGCTAGAAGTAGAACCGGGTCAAGGTTGTTTGCCGTCATCCGTCTGGCCAAAAGCGGCGGCCACTAAATGTTGCACAACGGGTTTCTGGCCCGCTCTCTCTCGCGCGATCCAGCTCTTGGCAAAAATGGTTCAAAAACGCGACCATGAGACTCGATGCCAGCTGCGTCCCGTTTCATGGTGAACTGGAAATCTTAGCAGCGAAATCAAAATGCATTTGGATGCCAGCTAAACGTTTTCCTCTCATGTCATCACAACGCGCGACTCGCATCTTTAGTTGGCAGCATCAAGTGCAACTGCATTTTCTTACAATGTCACCCGTCGAGCATTAGTTTTTCTCAATCTCCAGGCCTTAAGGCTAACCGCAGTTAGCCGCAGCACACCTACAACGCGGCGCATGAGTAATGCAATTGATGCTGGCAATTACCAGATATCATACTCAGACCCAAGGTGCAACCAGGCTGAAGTTCAAGTTTTGTTTTGTTGAGTTATTGCAGGCCTAATTGCCCCAAGACTCTGGAAAGAACAAAATGCGAGGCATTTAGATAATGTCAGATGAAATATCATTTTGAGTATCGTTTCCTTTTTAAAGCCTTTTACACTTGATAATATACATTAACTCTTTTGTAGTTAAAAACAAACAAAATAAGAGTTCTTATTTGGAAAGAGGAATCTTGTATTTCGAAAGGAAAACATTAAATTATTATATCGAAAAAGTTTGTTAGATCATTGTTTATGTAGTTAGTAATATTGTAGATTCTAGACATGTTTAAGTTTTTACTTAAACTCCTTATCAAGAGTTCTGTTTCTTTCAGTGTATTTCCTGCCTCGACTTCCGAATTTCGCATTTCTTTCTCGCTGGTTTTATCGCATTCCCTGTCTTGTGCCGAGCTCTCCCGACTTGTTTATGGTTGGAATTTTGCATTTACTTGTCTCGTATTAATCTCTTAATTTTTGCTGCTTTATTTTTGTGTTGCACTTGCTGGAGGGCTGTTTTTCAGGGTTGCCGGGTTCAACAAGAGCTTGGGTTGATGTGGCCACAAATTAACACTTGCTCGGTCCTAAAGTCTTGTTTCAACTGCTTTTGCCTCTGCTGTAGCTGTTGCTGCTGCACTTTGGAAGTGCTTATTTTATGGTCAGGCGGTGGAGTCAAGGGCTTAGTTAAGTCATCGAGTCAGGGGTGAAATTTTAATACCAGTACTTAGACTCGAAAAGATGATTGAATAGTAGAAAGTGTTGATTTGGTTTAAGAACCTAACTTTTAACATTCTTCTATATATATTTTGAGTTATTCCTGAGTCATTAGTTTCTTTGCTAATCTTTTTAACAACCCACTCAATATTTTTCTACACGATTTTCTAGACATTTGCATAATGCTGTGTAAGAAAACCTAGAAAATCATTATCGTTAGCTTGCATCTCTGCGCATCATCTCAGCTGTAAATTAGTGGCATGAAAAAAGCAAAATAAACAATAATGCGGTTTACTTTGGCTGACCTTGTGGCACAATCTTTTCCTGTCCCGCAACCATAAAAAAAAAAAAATCACTTAGCTTCGGAGATCTGACAATGAGAAACCACACAGAGAAGCTGAAGAGGAAATAGTGGAAAGAATCGAATCGCGAGCATTTCCTGCTTCGGAGGGAAATAGGTTTTGATATTCAAACAGATTAAATTTATGTAATTTTATACATAAGGAGGATTATAATTAAAATAATCATTTAAAATCTAATAATTTATACGAAAAATAACATAACATACCATATTACATAGGAATTTCCCAATATTCTCTGAAAGATCTAAGCAAATGCAAAAGTTCCACTAATCTCGTAGCTGCAGCAACAACTAAGGCGCAAAACAATTTCAAGGCCATTGGCACAGTTCAAGCGAAAAGTGTGACAAAGGGCGTGGGGCTGGTGCTGGCTAGGATGGGGTGTCGGTGGGGTGGGCTTGGGGGTACGGCTGTCATGAAGGGCATTCGAGTGCAATGTGGAGGAGCTGCTCGAGCCGCAGCGATAAACCATCCAGCTTTTCTCGCTCGGCTCTCGTCTTATTCTATCTCTCTTCGCTGCTGGCTGCATCTTGTTTGGATTCTAACAAGTGTGCGAAGTGCAAATGTTTAGATTTCAACAGAAAAGCAAATATATGTATATTTCAATATGCCCAGAAAAAGTTTGTGTATTTTTTAATGTTTTTTTTAACGCTCTCAGCAGATTTAGTAACAATATTTTGAAACAAAAGATTTCTAACATGTAATACCTATATTGGTTTAAGTTAAGAATTGCTGCAAAAACAGAAAAATGAAAGAATTTATTTGATTTTTATATAAAAACGTTATTGTGAGGAAGTTTTTCAGAAACATTTTGTTTCCTCAAATAGAGATGCCAATATCCAATGGTTAGTTTTAGGAAAATTGTAAGCTTCGTAAGCTTCTTGGCTTAAACAAATTGGAAATTTCCCAATAATCGCTTGACTAATGCCAAAACGTAGAATGTAAATTAAGAAAAACACATCTTTGATTGCTGCATGTTCAATAAATAATTCATTAATTAATCAATTGTTGTGGTTGCTGCTTTTGGCTCTTTTTTTGGCTGCGGTGCAAAGTTGATTGAACTTAAAATACATGAAGCTCATTTAAAATGTGTAAACAAAAGCCGCAGCAGAAACGGATACCAGACCCAGACTGGTGTGTGCCAACGACATATAAACAATTTATCAGAAATAAATTGGTTAACAGGTAAAATAAACAAATTAAGCGCAGAGCTAAATAAATGCTGGAAATATTTGTATATTTTTGTGGTTTTCATATTTAAAGGGTGAAAAGTGCATTTAGTCCAAAGTTCTTGTTGGTTACAGTGCGGTTTTAAAGATTTTAATTAAATTAGTTGCCGAAATTAAGTTCTGAATTCAATTTATGTTTGTAGAGAGGAAATATTGGAAATACAATTAAGCTATTTAGTTTTCTAGTCGATTCAGAGCGGAAAATAAAATTTGTTGGAGGAATATGTGGCAAGGTAAGCTTTTTATCCATCTAATATTTAAATCAGAGTTAAAGCAATTTATAATTGTTTCTGACATATACAAAGAGAACTTCAATAACCTTTCGTTTTCGGGGGTAAATAAAATTGCATTTTTATAATATATTTTGTCGGGGAAGAGGCATATATTATACCAGTTGCTGTTCTTAGCTTCATTAACGTCGTTGTTGTTGTGCTTTATCAAAGCCATTCTTTAAATTTTCGACAGTCTTTATTAACACGCTAAAAATTCGCTTGAAAAATCGTTGCCGGGTTTTTGGGATGCTGGAAGGGTTTAGCGTTTCAGTTACAGGTAAAACACTGACGACTTTTTATTTTTGGTTGGTTTTTGCCTCATTTGCGTCATGCAGTCAAAAGTCGCAGATCTCCTTCGGTCCAGTCCCCTGTCATCTGCTCGACTCCGAACTGCCCACAGATCTGGCTTTACCATTCCGTTTGCAATTTATTGAAACGAAGTTGACCTTGAATTTGGTTAAAAGTCTTTTAACTTTATTTCACTCGCTGCGTTGGCCTTTTATATAGGCGTATATGTGTTTTTCTTCTTCTTCTTCTTTTTTTTTGGTTTGGCTTAATGCCTTGTGCTGCCGCCGTCTGATGATTCTTGTTGTTACTGCTGATTACTTTAACGATGATGTCCATAAAATGTATCTCAAGCCCCGAAGCGCGCTCTGAACTCACACTTTTTCGGCAAAAACTCTGCTCGTGGGGGCAGCAACAGCAGCAGCAGGTTTCAGAAATGGCCAAAAAATACAACAAAAAGAGCTGAACACAAAATGAAATTCAAGTAAATCAAATTAATTTAAAGCCTGTAAGTGCAGTAGGGGTGATGGCGGGGGTGGAAAATTGATTGGGGCTGATGTCTGTGGGTAATGGCCAGGAGATGGCTTGCTATCCATCAGAGAGCTGTCTTTAATTTCAGTTTGAACAATTTAATGCATTTTATTGCAATTTTATTTTATGTCTTTAGAAATATTATAGCTATCTGGTACTATAAATAGGTAAGTATAGGCAAATATATTAAAGTCAAATAAGTTATTATGTGCATTTAACCTCTTATTAGGCTTTAGTTGCTTTATTTTCCCTATTAATGTTCATGATAGGAATGATGACCAAGTAACTATAAAATCAAATTGATATAAATATGATTGCCTAATATTTATTAGAATTTTCCCACCTCTTTGTGCCTACTCACACTTGCCCCAATTGCCTAGAAAATGTTTAATTAATCATTTGTGCCCACACAATGATGACGTA